AACCTGATAGCGACAGAAAATTTTCCTCTCTAAAATTTTAACCTTCTTCCCGCTCTCGAACCATATGGTCGTCTGCTTTTGTCTCTACTTTCTGCACACCCCCCCCCCCTCCTCTGGGGTGCTGACTCCTTTCAGCAGTTTTCCTACTGCTACTTTTTGGCTCCCTATTGCTTTTTCAAGCACACCCCTGATCTTAGGGTAGGTAAGATCTAACACACAGCCTTCTCGGAAAAAATCTGGGAGGTCCCGTGTGAAAGTTGCGCACGTTAAAGATCCCTTGGTGGTCCTAAAATCGATAAGAGTAGCCTTCGGCCGCCACCCAGGCAAAACTTAACATTAATTCCTACCAAAGAAAATGTTTACTGTGTCCCACGCGCTCATATGACCTTATGCGTTGCAAGCGCAGTAAAATACTTAAAAAACCACCGAATAAGTCATGTGTGATTTAGGAGTGCCAGACAATTTCAACTAATTCATCTCCCTAAACCACATAAAAAGAAAGAAATCCTGATTTCAGCCCGTGGCCAGAACATCACTTATCAAAACCATGCCTGGGATTCAGCATTCACGGATTTCACCTTTAAAAATGAGTTTTACCACTGCACTTGCGACACAATAAGGTCATAGATATATAAAAGCAGAAGATTAAAGGTGTTACAAGAGAGTAACAAATACCAAAAAATGGAGAGGAGATAAGGACGGCATGTTTTAGTTTTCGTAGAGGTTTTACGGCGCTCGCAACTGCATAAAGTCATATGAGCGCCAGAAGAATAAAGGTGTTACAAGAGAGTAAAAGTAAAGATGTTCGCGCATCCGACCCGTACCCGGACATTGGGGATTGCCTAAGTGAGACAACTTCCTGGGCCTTCGGCATATTGTGGTAGGGTGGCCAGTTCCTTTTCACACCGCCTTTACATCCCCAACTCGAAGTCAGGTACCCATTACTGCTGAATGGGCAGGAGGGGGCGAAAAAATCCGTGTCCGAACCGAGGCTCGCACCCGGACTTTGCGCTTCGGAGACGAGCCCACTAGCCGCTCGGCCACCACACCCTCTTACAAGAGAGTAACAAACATAAGAAGAAGGGGAGGTAAGGATTATAGATGTTTGATAGGAAAGAAGGAGCAAACCACACCAGATCACCAGCCAACCACTCACCATTTACGGATTCTAAAAGCAGTGTAAGACAAACTTATTAAAAGAAAAACATCATAGATGGGCATCATGGGTAAGTGTTTTACGGCGCTTGCAACTGCATAAGATACTATGAGCTTGAGGGACACCTTAAACATTTTCAGTTGGTAGGATATTTTGAATTTTGCCTGGGTGGCAGCCGAACCCTACTCTTATCAAGGGGCTCTTATGGCCTAGAGGTTAAGGTGTTCACCTCTCATTCAAAGGTCCCGGGTTCGAATCCGGGTAGCGACAGAAAAATTTTCATCTCTAAAATTGTCTCCTTTCACCTCCTTTCTTGCTCTCTAGCAATGTTCTGTCGTCTGCTTTTGTCTCCACTTTCTGACCCCACCCCCTCACCTCCTTTGCCCCCTCCTCTGGGCTCCTGACTCTTTCTGTAGCCTTTCTATTGCTTCTCCTTGGCTCATTACTGCTGTCTTTTAGCCATACCCCTGATCTTCTGGTAGGAAAGATCTACACCTAGCCTTCTCAGACAAGGGCAGAAAATCTCTGAGGTCCCCTGTGCAAGTTGTGCACGTTAAAGATCTCTTGATGCTCAGAGGAGGGGGCAAAGGAGATGAGGGGGGTGGGGGGCAAAGGAGATGAGGGGGTGGGGGGCAGAAAGTGGAAACGAAAGCAGATGACAGAACATTGCTAGAGAGCAAGAAAGGAGGTGAAAGGAGAGAACTTTAGAGAAAAAATTTCTTTCGTCGCTGCCCGGATTCGAACCGGGGACCGTTGAATGAGAGGCGAACACTTTAACCTCTAGGCCACGAGAGCCCTCAATACAACTTTACAAGATATGCACAGTTCAGTTTGAGTAAAGAAAAGCACAATGACCCGGCAATGGCAATTCTGTGGAGGAAAAATGCAAACTAGACAGACAGAAAAAAACCTCACAGCCATATAAAAGAAGTAGGAATTATTGGTGACATCCAATCTTGCGCACACACATATGCACATGTGATACTATCTGACAAACATGCACACAGAAAAACACACAAACACACTGTTCACTTGCTTGACCTCTCTATCTGTCGCTCTCTCTCTCTCAATGACCTGCTTCGGGTGACCATGTCCTCATTTCTTGTGACAAAGAATTGGGTGAAGGCTGGCTGAGAGGACGAAGGGAAGGAGGCCCAGAGCCCCCGGCAAACACAGACGTGTTGGGTCAACAGCGGACGAGGGGAAGCAACTCCACAGAGAAAAGGACAGGGGTAAACACGAGAGACCAAGCACCCACGTCATCACCTGGATGACTTGGCAGAGCCCGCGAGAGAATGCAAACAGTTTGTTGACGATATGATTGAGAGCACACAGAGAAAGAATCACTTGCAAAGGAAGTCGCAAACAAACAGAAATATTGAGATGGGGGTGGAGGGGGGAGAGAGGAGAGAGAGGGAACTTGTCCATTGAGGAGAGCAAAGTGTGAGTGTTATGATGGAAAAATGCTCATCCATATTATTTCTGGTGGTGCCCTTTGGTGCATAGCGCAATGAAATTAAGACATTAAAAAAACCCAATCGAATTTGAAGGAATAGCCCAAATATCACACATGTTTATAAAATCTTATTCTATTGTACCTTCACTTGTAAGTTAACAGAAATTATAAAGACACATGTACTTTCATGCTCCATAACCAAGCACTGAGTGGGATTTCAAGACATTAAAGAAAGTGAACCCAAGATCAACTTACAAGCAATGGTAGCTAAAATATGTCTTAAGTTTGACACCAAATGCAGGTAACGGGACTGACTAACATAAAGGTAGATGTTAGTTCTCCAATTAACCAAAACAATTTAAAAAAGCAAAAAAAAGCTGATTAATTCCCCATAACTTTGTGTACATATAAAGAGAAAAATCTTATCACAGCAATCCTATTGCACCTTACAACAGAAGTTCTGTCTGGTTCCATAATGCCTATGACGAAATTCCCTGTCTTACAGTCAGCCATATTTGAGGCATTCATAATTTACATTATTTGAACCGATAACACCTCAAAATCTACTCCACCTAAGCTTACATCACATGTTGGGTGGGTAGGGCCTACAACTTACTACAAGTTCCCTCTGGATGGGATCACATCGAACTGTGAACTCTTCCCTGACCATTGCAGCAGTTGTCTCTACTACCGAATTTACGAGGCAAACTGAATTCTGATGTGGTCACAACATAACCTATAAATTTTGGACAGGTAAAGGGAGAGGGGCAACAGGATAAGCGTAGATCTTAAGAATCATGATAGAATAAGTGAAAATGGCATGCCTCATGCCACTGTGATTGGTCATCAAGGTTGACCACTTTGCTCGCCATATGTCATAAACCCACCCAGGGGTCACATCAATTCATTCTAAAGTGAAGGGAGACCATTATACCAGTTGTGGGCCCTAACACGGGCCACCGAAGATTCTTCCCTTGGTGATTTGGTTAAGATCCTGTTCGCGTAAGATCCCAAATTTTCCTTGCTTCCGAGCACCAGGATCTTAGGCGGAGACTACTGTTTTTACATTTCGGCTTCTTGCGCATTTCATTTTCCACACAGTATCAATCACACTAAACATAATGGAACAGTACTCTTGAGTGAAGAGAAAACCACAAAGAAGAGTACCCAAGATGTGGCTGCATGCACTGATCAACACTGTTAATACATCCCAGATTTGTCCCAAACTCACCCCTGAAAGCAGGAGGTATTTTGGTGTGCATCAAAGCTCACTTGTAACATGATAAACTACACAGGGGATGGCCTAGATTTGAATCCTGAACTTGGTTCTTTAGAGAGTTTTCAAGGCTCTTCTTTTACTTGACTACGCCTTATCAGAGCCCCTCCCCAATCTTAGCATTGAAAAGGGTATGGACTTATTGAAAGGGGCATAAACATAAATTCACCAAAAAAACCCACATTTTTTTTCTCAAATGGGTTTAGTACACAAATACAGTATAACACAGATAGCTCAAATTCGTCGGTACCGGCCTCGGTAGTTCCAGGGATATCTTACAAAGATAAGGTAGAAAGAAAAAAAAACCCTGGACTGCAGGCACAGTTCGATGGATGCGTAATTTTGCGTCTTCTGTGTTCAACCTATCTGTGTAATACTGTATAACACTAATCTTGTCTCCAACATTGAACTGAGATGGAAAAATCATCAAAAGCCTGCTGGAACCGCTAAATCCTTGTTTGAAGGTCGTGGTTCCCACATGCTGACATACTACACAAAGAGAGATGACAAAACTCCAAAGAGAATCTACATCTACTGCTCACAAAACCAAGAATAGGTTTCAAACAAGCATATAGAATGCATCGCAGATTCTGTGAATGACAGGTATTTCAACTGATCCTGTTTAGGTGATCAAAGTGGGGACTTCCTGAGATATTTCGCGATTGGAAAGACATGTCGCACAAATTTTGTTGGTACAAGAAAAAGTTATCTTTTGGAGAAAGAAAGACAGGGCAGGCTTAATTGGCAGAATATATGTGTCACTGACAATTAAATACGGTTAAAAAATCCATTATCATCATCTGCTTTGCTTCTCTTTCGTCTCAGATAAAACACAGGACAGATATAAAACAAAAAAATGACCACAGGATATCTTAAAGAAATGAAACAATATCCCATAGCACAATGGTCCATTTGACTTTGCTGATCAATAATGAATTAAATGTTTTCAGGGAAGAAAACTCAACAGATGAAAATACCTTATTTCAATAAGTACACATGTCCAATACATCATTGAACACTGGACTTTTTTTCAGAGAGTAGCAAAAGAGATGGACAGTTTTGAAAGAGCCCAAACCAAGCTGTGATGCGGAAAGTGGAAAAAAAATACTCACAGGATTTATCACAGTTGTGGAGGCAGCGTTGGTCGTGAAGGGATCAAATTTATCGGCAGTGACAATCATATCAGGTAAGGGGTAAAGCCGAAGGCTGCAGTCGTGAGCCCAGTAGATGGGACTAACGTGTAGTGGCAAAGGGCACAGGTGGGCTTGACTGATCAAAGACTTGGCAAACTGGAAGAAAAAGGGAAAAAGGCAAGAGTTCAAAAACTGTAAAAGCAGGAGATAATTCAAACCTACATTAGCTTTCTTTTTTTTTTAAAGTACCCCATTCGTAGGAATTTAATTACCTTTCTAATAAATGCTCCTTCAACACAAAACTGTAAGGGACAAAAAGAAAGCTGAAAATCATTGTTGAAAAAACAAAAGAAATCAAAACAATAATAATTATTATGAAAGTATAAAAGAAAACTACTACTTTGCAAGATGACAGTGACCTCGTTGCAAGACACAGAGGAAAGGAGTGAGTCAAGGAACTGACCAACGGAACACTGTGAACACCGATGTACTGAGATTGATTCTAATCTGGGATGGATGCAAAGACAACATGAACAGTTCTGAAATGAGTGGTTTTTTCTCTATTTGTAAATATTAACATGTGTCTTTTGAAATAAATGTTTTCGAGAGAAATGGGTTCTGTACAGCACAAAGTTAAAATGGTAATACTTTACTCTTAACAAATATTTAATCTGACGAAAAAAATTAAGATAAAATAAATAAGTACGCAGCTCCATCAAAAGACCACATGAAATATTCCAGCTCATACTAAACTAAACAAACCAAAGCAGTGCACATCAAGTTATGAATCCATGAAGTATCTTTAGGATACACTATACCAAATACAAATCTATATGAAAAATAAACCAAGGAAGAAATCTATAAAGCACTTAAGCTTTTACTTACATGTGTGGGCACATTGCCATCAGATGGAAATTTCACACAATTTCTGCACATCTTTGTAACAATATCCTCTCTAAAGATGATAATTTCCTGAGTACAGTATTGAATACGGCAGGGATTGGAGGTGAAAATGGCGTCCGGCACTTTCTTTCTGAAAGCCTCTGTGATAACATTAGGAATGGTGGGTCTGGAAAAAAGTGAAAAATGAGGGAAATACATTTTACTACAGCATCTATGAACAGCAGACACAATACTCTTGCATTATACTTGAAACTACCAACAGTTTTTCAAAAAGAAAAGAAAATCTCCCAAAATGCTATCATGAATGCTGGAAAGGTAACACTGAAATCTAAGTTTTCCAAAAAGTCATTCTTAAACTTCAATTTTAGTCAAGGAATACTAAAAAGGTGAGCCCTTAACATCTATAAACTTTCTAAACACCATGATACAAAAGGCTTCAATAACTTGTTTGTAGATAAGCTGCTGACTGTAACAGTAACAATAAGTATATAGACTGAATACAGTTATGAGCACAAAATCCATAACAACAGTAGTACACTCAAAGAGTAAAAAAAAAAAAAAAAAAACCCCCCCCCGGACAAAAGTAGCCACTCACCTTGGCAGTATGGTGGAATGACCTGGATCATTGGGGCCGGGAACAAAGATCATACGACTGTTGCTTATCAGGTTCGGATAATTTGACAGCATATTTCCAAGGTCTTTAAAACATTCTAGGAGATATAAAAAAATCATACAAAAATGATAGACGATTTAACGAAAGACAGACAGAGAGAGAGAGAGAGAGAGAGAGAGAGAGAGAGAGAGAGAGAGAGAGAGAAGTAGCACATGTCAAGATAAATATAAAAAAAGACAAGGGAGGCAAAAGAAAACTCAAAATATAAGGGGTCCTATCTATTTAGAGTGTTGTGGTCCAAGTAATATTTGACACAAAACCAATCACACATTATATCTTACAGCTACTCACTTCAGAAATCACACACTTCCATTGAGAAATATAACATTACTGAGGGAAAACCAATCTTTGCGACAATGAGAGTTTCAAGTTACTGTAAAAGCATCTTCGGGTAGAGCCATGATACAGCCCGATTAAAAAGTTACCAAACAACTGATTTTCTGTAATGTTTTCTCCATATAAAAAAAGTAAAGAGAAAAAGATAAACAGTTGTCCTCTAGCCAAGTATGAATACCCTACAGACCCAACTGCATGCCCCAGGGTGAACTATCTTTACCCTCGTGTGTGCAGAACAACGTGGGGTTAGTGTAAATTTAGCAGCAAATACAAGGGGGCTCAGGTAGGTTCAGTGTGGAAAAGAGAGCAGGGCAAATAGCATTTACAGAAACACCATATCAAACTAAGTCGAAAATAGTACCATTTTTGTGTTTCTATTGCAGTAATGACAGTTATAGTGAAATGAAGTGGCTCTACATTTTGACATTTGCAACTTCAAGAAAAGCCAAAAACAAAACAAAAACAAACAAACCTTCTCCCAGGTCTCTTGAAGGATAAAATATAGAATGTAGTAGTAACCTTAGGGATGGTTGTAAGTATTGGTTCAGTACTTAATCAGCTACTGCCCACTGTAGCAACTTCAATATGACAAACTATGTAAGCATTTTTATTTGATAAACACCACTCTTTTTCCTTGACCCTGCCTGTTAGGATCTACTCTGGCTGAGAGGGATACAACATCCTAGCAGAAAGACCAAGATACTCTATAAAAATTCCTCCCCACTCAAGAATCAAACTCGGGTCTCCAGCGTGTGACAGAGAAACGACTAACCGCTACACCACAGATACAGGTAAACACCTATCTTGGAGTCTGCAGTGACGTCATGGCTTTGAAAATAAGAGTACAGAACAGCCCTTTGATTTACCTTGAAGTGTCTTCGCATGACTCAGTACCTTCGCAGATGACAGAAAGTTCCCACAGAAAATAAAAGCTGTGGGTGGGTAATCGGCATATCCTTTGAACATCAGGTCAAGTTTTTCCATGATCTGAAATAAAAGGAATGATAACCATTGTGAAAGACTCGAGACTTTACCTTGCGAAATCACAGATAACATCTGGAAAAATTCAAATTAACGAGATTTTCTCAGTTCGCAAATGTAAACAAAAATTTCGATTTGCTGAAAAAGATACAAAGTAATCTTAAGAAAGTTACAAATATTGGTGAAGCTACTGGACCTGCCCTTTATGCTGGTGATTTTAATTCACAGACCATATCTAGAGCCTTTAAATAAAACCTTTTCCCATCTTTCAATAAATAAAACCATCTTCTTGCAAGCAAAGTTTTCTCAACTTAGGACTTATGATTGGGGAGATAAGAAGAACCGTGTACAGCAACAGCAAAAAGATACTTATCTGGCCAAGTCATCTCTTTGTGCCTCGATTAAATTACCTGTGCTATCTGAGACACAACAGGGCAAATACTCATTATCGCTATATTTTAGAACTTAAGTACAACCCATCCCACAAAAACTTCCAGTGCCGTATAACAGAGCCTTCATACCCTGCTGTTGTCAAGCCAAACATCAGAGAGCAGCACAAACATGGCATCTGTATTATCTGCTTCAATCTGTGCCAGCCGAGCAGACGCTTTCACTTGTATGGAGGACGGACCTCCAAAAAAGTTGATGTTCCCAAAGTAAGACCTAGAATGAAACAGAAAGATGCATAATAATTTGTATAACTGTTTGACACACAAGTAAGTTTTGCATTAACTTATGAAGACAGAGTTCTTATGGTGTAAGAGCGTATATTATACATCATACACAGAGGAACAGGTCAGTTTTTCAGGTTGGCCCAACTGCCATCAATACAGCAATTTAGGCTCAATTCTGTCCCTAACAAACTATGTTCTCTCCACTAAGACAAAACCAAGTAAGCATCTATTCTTTCCTGACTGTAATCACAAAGTAAATAAGAATTTTTTCTGAATTATTTAGACAAACTCATAAATTATATATATATATATAATATCAAAATGCAGGAAACTAACTTTCTGTCAGAGTTGAGAGAAAAAAAAGGAATCTGCGTGCAAAATAGTAGCTTGCAAGAGTCTGAAAACAAAACAAGTATCATAATTAACTAATTTGTCGTGTCATGAAAAGTGGCTAGCTGCCACAAAGCATGGGTCATGCAAGCCACAAAATGTGGCTCCCAAAAGTATGTGGAGTTTAAGGGGAGGAGCGACCCTTGATTTTGCCTATTTCGGGTCAGGCTATGCACATTGAGATGTTGGCTGATTTTTTAAGATCAACAGTTCTTTGTCTAAAAATAGCATGGATACAACTGAGAAAGTCTTTATTCTCTTCGCAAATTGCCTTTGAAAACATAAGGGCGTGATAATATAGTGAATTCTCACAATAATTGTCGTTTTTCGCAAAATGTCATTTTTTGGCAGTTTTTTCCCTACTCCTTCCTTTTGACATGAAACTTTCAGGAAACCTAGATGGCAAGGTTGCCATCAAAGCAACAGAGAGATATTTGCGAAAAAAAACCCCCAACACTTTTCCATTGGCAAGCGATTACGCAACATAAATTTAGAAAAGGGTTTTTATACACTGAGCAAATGTTCATATTTTCCCCCCCTCTTGCACTTATTGAAAAAAACTTGCTGTTACGCTGATAGGGTCTGGATCAGGTACTCTCACCAAATTTGGTCAGTAAATAAGAAATCCTTAGGGATTTGAAATTCATTGTTTATTTTCAAGATGGCCGCCGTTTCCATAGCAACCGCTGTAGCTATGCCAAAATAAAATTGCATATCAAGAGATTTTAATATGCCTAACTTATATGTGTACTTAGATTTGATCTCGGGCAACAAACAGAAAATGGTCCTCAAGGGTCACTCCTCCCGTTAAGAGGATCAAGTGGTAAGACAGGCTAAATGCTGAAATCATAACATTACTTTCCTAAACATACCTGGTAGTCTCTGCCAGTTCTGGAGGAGGAAGACCAAACGCTTCTATGTGAAAAACACTGTCTTCATACCATCCTTCAGCTAGGACAAATGAGTTCTCTGTGAAAAGTCCTGGCTGAAAGCTGTACCAATGATAAGGAATTTACTTCTCTCCCAGAACAAGAAAATAAAAAGTGGGGGGGAAAAAAAAACAACCTATAATCCATAGTATTTATATTTTTTATAGTAGAGGGTTTTACGGCGCTCGCAACTGCATAAGGTCATATATAAGCCAGAAGATTAGAGGTGTTACAAGAGAGTAACAAACATAAAAAAGAAGAAGGGGAGAAAAGGACGATAGATGTTTGATAGGAAAGAAGAAGCAAACCACACCAGAGCACCCGCCAACCACCAACATAATCCATAGTAGAAACATCCAAAAGAGAATGAGTTTACAAAGACAACTGAATAAATAAAGACAACAATCTGGGTGGACTGCAATGCAAAAGTATATGTAAAGGTGATTAAGAAGTCAACCATCTATCAATTAATCACAGTCCAAATGATAATAAAAAGAGAAATTATAGGTAAGGAAATAATAATATGCACATATCCTGATCCTGTGAACATTCATCGACGCAAAAAGCAAGACATCACAAGGAAAGAAATGAATCCCTGTACTCCTTAATAACATAAAAAGGATATTGCTGAAGTAAAATCAAGCCTCACATTTCCTGTCGGATCTTCTAAAAACCACTTGCCCTGAAAGAAAAAGGAACAATACAAGAAATGACAGTTGTGACAAATGAAGTCAAACAAACATAAGTTGGGCCTTAGAAAAAAAAAAAGCAAGTATGCTTTTGTGCAGACATTCGTTCTTTTCCAGTCATATTTTTATGACATGAAAGATGAAGGAACTGACCTACACAACACCACAGAAGGGACGGGGAGGCTGAGCACCATACCAGCTGCTTAGCTTTTCAGTAACTCGATTAAAAGTAGGAGAAATGAAAATACATCAAAATGTATGGAGAGCAGCAAACAAGCTGTTGATAATCTAAAAATGATAATAACGAAGTGCATTTTCATAGCACCCCTTCCCAAGTACACACAGCTCTGGGTGCTTTACACAAATCAAAGTAAAAAACAACAACTTCAAAAAAATATTTGTTCATATATATGAAGAGCTCACACAGACAGAATTACAATACATTTAGGACAACTTATTTACCTCTTTCAGTTGAGCCAGCATGCCCAGCACCAGGACATTCTTCAGTTTGGCTGTGCTCCCCACCAGGTACTCTATCGGTTTCAACTACAAACATTGAAAATGAAAAGATTTATGAACAAACACATACCGTAAAAATTGCACAAGATGGCCACCCATCGAGGAGAAAAATGATTGTCTAAGACAGGGCTTAAAACAGACCGCGGCAATTTGCCTTGGTGCCGTTGCAATTTCCCGTAATGGCTTTAAAATCAAAGGGTCAACCGCGGCAATTTTTGCCATGCCCTTTTTTTTTGGTTAGAAAAAATGTGACGCCATGAAAATAAATCAATATTTGTCCTGTGCTGTCACTTGTGGAAAAAAAGAGAAAGTTATACAATGTACAAGCATCTTGTCGGGTTCGCCACCGTGACCGGTCATTGAACCTGCATCACGACTTTTTAAATCCCAAGATACGGTATTGTGTGAGCAATGGTTGTTGGGGTCACCAAAGTTTATTCAAAGTCTGAACGCCGCGAAGTATGGGACTCCGGAATGGGAGGAATTATTGATTTTTTTATTTTTAAGATACATTCGTGGGAGGAGGGGCATGAAGACATCCTGTTAGACTTGTCTGCCATG